CCTCTTTACTAAATTGAAACGTCACTTCTAAAACCCCTCTTTACTGAAAAGCCACTTTTCGTAGCCATCTTAAATATGCTTCATCCTTTTCCCTTTCTTCCTTCCACGTTAGAGGCCCGGTGTTTTTTTTTTTCCTGGTAACGTTCTCTTCCTGTTATTTCTCCAATTGCTAGAGGTAAATTCCTTCCTTTTGGTTTTGAGATTAATCAGTTCTCTTCCATGTTATGTTGATGTTTAATCTGATCACTTCTTCTTTTTTTTATATCAAATTGTTTTTATTTTTATTTTTCCTATCATTTTTTTGATTTACATCCTTCTAAAATGTCTAACAGCATAAAGTATTTTCTCTTCCCTTTCCAAGACTAATAATCTATATCTATATAATGCTGGGGCTTGGCAAGGTGATATGACACTTTCATTGACTAGGAAATGGATTTATCTAATTTCTTATGATTTGGGGGTTTTGCCTAATTTTTATTTAAAAAGAAAAAAAAATTAAACCATTCGATTACAACTCCAACAGTTCCAACTTTTCATTCGGGAAGGCCATATTAACAATCCGTAACTTCTTAACTGATGAGGACTTTTTTCCATCCATTATGAGTATTAGTTTATTCTTTCTCAACCAAGAAATGCTATTTTTTTTCTTTTTTCTCATTCTTTTTACCTTTTCTTTCTATTTGCAATATTAAAAAATTCAAAAGGTATGTTATTAATCATCTTAATCACACCTATTCCAAAAGACTCTTTCTTAATCCTTTTAATTGCACATTCCGCTCTTCCGTTTGTAACTACGTATGTCTTCTATATTTATTGTGCTTAAATTGATAATTGATATCATTATATTACTCTTTCTCACACATTTTTCTATTCTAAAGTTTAACAGGATTTCAACGTTAGGAGATTTGGAAGAAGGGGAGGCGGGTAACGACGAGTTTTCATTTTCATTGTCAAGTAGTGAGACTAGATTTATGCCAGTATGTCTTAGTTTGTGCATTAAAGGATTTTCACCACCAATAAAACTTATGCAACGACCAGCAATATTATTATTGGTTAACCATTGCAAAAATTTCTCCTCGAAAGGTTTTCATTGCACCATAAATATTCTTTTATTTCCCTTTTACACTAAAACAAAGTTTAGAGTAACAGCATAATAGTATGAACACAATGATTTCTTCTTCTTGTAGTACCTTTTTGTGTGTTGGGAAATTAAGATGCTGAATGATATTATTTTTGTTGGTAGTATTACAATTGTTCAGCAGCGAAAATAATTCTTTATAAAGCCATATTAGACTTCAGATATTACAAGTTCATTTTGCATAAGAGTTTTCTGAAAACAACTTTCATTAAAATATAAAAATACTATATAAGTACTATTACGTTTTGCAAATTCAAATGTCTTCCAACTTACTCTTGGAGATGCTAGAAATTTCCGGTGATGAATGTAAAAATTAGATTTTGGGGGAGAACATGAAGCAGAAATAACCAAAGGTAAAAATCAGGTTTTCTATGCACTTGCCAAGGCTGGCGAAAAGAGTACATGGTTTTTGATAAAAAGCATTATTACCATCCCTTTTTAATTTCTTCGTGTTAAAAATTAAATTTTATTGTCTATACATTTCCGGTGATAAATTTAAAAATCTGACTTTGGGGGAGAACATGAAGCAAAAATAACCAAAGGTAAAAATTAAGTTTTCTATGCGCTTGCCAAGGCTAACGAAAAGAATACATGATTTTTAATAAAAAGTATTATTACCATCCCTTTTTACTTATTTCGTGTTAAAAAATAAATTTTATTACTTAAACATGATTTTCTTTATAATATAATTATTAACATAAAAGAAATATGGTAAACTATCCTCAAAGTATTCTCATACTTTGTTGTCCTCTAATATTTTTATTTTAATTATTTTTCTATAATTGAGCAGATAAATGTGATGATAAATTTAAGCTATCACTACTTACAAGTTAAATCGCAAAATCATGAGTTTTGAAATTATATATTAGAAAACATTTTACTCAACCGATTATGCAAAAGGGAAAAAAAATAATGTGAAATATGTTTCTACAATAGAAAAAGAACAAGAAGGAACCTCCCATTTTTATGACAAATGTGTGCATGGAATATTTTTCTCCTACTTTTTTCCGGTCTCTTTGCTTTTAGGACGGTACTTGGATCTGTTTTCTCTTTTGAATGGTTATTTTGCTCAATATACAATATGGGTGATGGGAATATTGAAATAGATAGATGATTTATTTGTTATATTTTATTAGGAGAAAAAAAATGGAGCATTGCAATTTACAAGCATTAAAAGGAGAGTTAAGTTTTGGATTAGCAGGAAAGTGGGAGAAAAGGGAAAGAAATAACCAAAAAAGAAAAAGAAAAAAGATTGGAAGTAGCGGTAGGAAAGAAGGTTTTTTAACCTTTTCATTTCATGAAGTGTCTGAAAGACAAAAGGTCGATTATTTAATGAAAGAACAAAAATTAAATACCTTGCATGTATTCAATAATGTATATTGGACTAAGAGATCATGTATTAAAACCCCCTACACACATATTTAAAAGCGTAAAAAATTAAAGTTCTTTTTATTCTTAAATTTTTAAAGAAAATCTAAATAATAAAAACACAATTCATCTAAAGAAAATAATTTTTTTTTTGTTTCATAAAAAAAACTATTATTAAATCTTTTGATGTCTTATAGTCGCGCGAAGCACGAAAAATTCACTAGTTTAATGTATAATTTATGTACTCTTGGTAAAATCTGAATATGTTTTATGTATATTTGACATGAAATATTTTTCAACTTTTCGATGTCTATGCATAAAATATAATGCATATTTCATAATAATGTACATTAAATAATTAGTGTATATTATTGTTATTAGGAGATAATATCAACATTTCACTGTAATATTTCAAGAAATAGATGATATATTGAATATTTTAGTTTAGTACTATTATTTTAACTGTGATAGTCAATATATAATAGTAATATTTACTATCATTTTATAATTATTTGGTTTTCATCTGTATATTATTATACACTATATATTCTAGATTTATTAGTTTCATATTCTTTAAATGATACAAAAGCAAAAATAATATAGAAAGACAATATCTTTTAGCAAGAAAAAGAGAAGAGATTGCTTGGGTAGTTACAAATGTACATGTTAAAATAGAATGTATATTATCCTAATTTGAATTCCAATTAGAAAAAACTTTAGGCCACATTGTTTCTTTTTCTTAAGGTAAAAAAGTTAAACAGATCCTTAAAATTAGCATGCATGATTCTTAATTTTGAGGGGTGAGAAATTGGTGAATAGATCATAGATGGTTATTCCAGTTTTATAAGTTTTTGTTAAGGAAAGTAAATCTTTCGTTGACATATTTTGTTAATTAACGAATGCTGCTAAGATTCATTAAAAATTTCTTAATTCTTGCATATTTACGTTCTTGCCCTTAAAAGAAGGGTACTTTCACGAATAGACTGAAAATCATAATCCAGGTTGGGCTGTCCTACCACGTCAAACCCATTTTGACTCTATATTGGTAGCATATAATACTCACCCCACATCTATAAAGCCTACAGCTAACTTGTTCTTTCAATTAAACAACGCATCAACTTCTTCGCTCCTTGCTTCTTTGGGATAAGGTTTAAGTTCTTTTCTCTCTAAGTTTTTTACATTAACTTATTCTTCATGTAGTGTTGCTTTGTTGTTTTTCTTATTTATTATACTTTGTATTTATTGTATTATAGTCAAGGTGAAACTATGTGTTGATATGTAGGTTGAAGGCTTGAAGCTTTCCTTAATAAACTTGGCTTAGCAAAATCATCCATATTTTAAAAAAGAAGCATATCTAATGGTTGAATATTTCTGTTATTTTTTTTTTCTGCGAATATTCATCTGCATATTGTATTTTTCACAATTGTGTATAGTCTTTGTTTTACTGCTTACGTGCTCTTGCTAGGGTTATGCTACCTCTTGGGCCGTTAACCTAACATATATTGTTTAGGCGTTTCTATCAATTTTGATTTTTACATAAATATATGACAAACTATATTTTTAGCAAAAAGAAAAATCATAAAGACATACACAATTGAACAAACATGGTTGTGTATTCGGTTATTTTGCAACAGCGTAGTTGTCGGCCTCCTCTAACATATTACTCAAGTAAGATGTATTTGAAAATATATTCTAACTAATAGTATTCTCTAATTGTTGTAGGTTTCTTCTTCAATTTCTGCTCAACATAAAGGTGTTCAACCTGTGGATTAATAATTAAAAGTACTTGCCTTGTCGTATGTAGGAATGGGAACTCACGTCCAAGAGGAAATAATTGTCGATATCCTCAGCAGGTTACCTGTTGAGTCTCTTATGCGATTTAAGTGTATTTCTGGATCTTGGAATACATTAATCTCATCATGTTACTTTAGGACGAAGCATCTCAATATTGCCAGCAGGAACNATCCAGCAGAAGAAACCTCTGTACTTACAGGTGATTTACATCCACCCGAACTACATCTTTCATCACTTCTTGAGCCAAGAGCAATAGAGCTCACGGTCATGGCATCTTTGTATCACAGCTTGAGTTATTGAACATCCAACTGCAGATTGAAGCTCATTTAGGCCATTACTGCACTTGAGATTTCTATTCCGCTTCCCCTTCTTTCTAGGTTTTTTCCTTGAGTATCTGTCTGTGGATCTATTTTCCTTAGGGTCATGAATATCCATATCTTCTACACTATTGGCATCAGATCCCCGGGAGATGGTTCCAGGAAATTCACATTCGATAATTGGATTTTGACCAGAAGGAATGATTGATAACATGTCCCATTTCTTTAGATTGCTGAAAGCACCTACATCGTGTAGAGAGCTTCTAGACGAGATTGATTCAAGAGGAGAGCCAGTATTAAAAACTCTTTGAATTTTCTACCAAACAAGAAAGAAGTTAATGGCAACAACGAACCAACTTGAATTCTATTTACATTTGATTGAAGTGATCTCCGACAGATTTCACGGCAGAGATATTGTTGTGGAAGAACAAGAACTCTCCATAGTCCATTGGATTCCAAGACAAAGAATGTGACATCTGTAGACCTGCAAAATGATTCATATGTTAACATATGAACATTGTTAAGCTTAAACCAATATCATGTGAAAAGATATCGGGCCAACTGTTGGTATCTCATGCGATATTTCAATTTATAAGAAAAGCTATAAATGTGGTATATGACGTCAATTCCACTTCCCAACGACGTAGTTGGTATATAGTGACAATCTAGAGAAAATGAACTTCAACAATAATACACAAATACAAAAATATATGTAGCTCATCGATAGTACCAAGAAGCTGTCTTTACCTACAATTGCAAAATCTTCAAATAACAGAAGATACTCCATAGTCCTAGAAGAAAGTACCACAATACGTGTCAGAACTACTTCAGATGAATGACAAAGCGTTAGTATATCCATGTGATTTGCAGCAATTAATATACAAAACCATAGAACATGAACTGAACTTATGCACCTCTAGAGATTTCAGGGACAATGTACTGTAATCCATATCTGGATCTTTCTGAATGATGCTACCTGATCACCTAAGGATACAATGTATTTTTCTGCAACGTAAAGAGAGCACATGGAGATCACCATATGTGCTACTTCAGTAGTCTTCAACCTCAGGGAAATGCATATTGACATATATCAACAACAACAACAGCAACAACCCAGTATAATCTCACAAGTGGGGTCTGGAGAGGGTAGAGTGTATGCAGACCTAACTCCTACCCCCAGAGGGGTAGAGAGGCTATTTCCGAAAGACCCTCGGCTCGAAAAATTCAAGAGGATAACCTATTTCTTCTTCTAGAAAAGCTATGCCTACTATCTTGTTCGTATACCCCAAAAACTTGACTTAGAATTTAAATGCTTAAAAGTTTTCCTTCTTAAAAGAGAAGAATTCAAATAAATATAAACTAGTACCATTATATGTTATTTAAACCTGATGTGACATTTGAAAACAATGTTTTCAAACTTTGTTTACCTAAATTCCATGCTTGCCAAAGTAGGTACATACTAGAATTAAGGAGGTTCAATTGCACTCGCATATACCTAGTGAATCAATGAACTTCTAAATAAATGGAGCTCCATTTAGAAAGAACATGGCCAAGCAAAGCAAGAAGAAGGTTAAGAACAATATGGTCCAATACATTACGAGCAGTAAAGGTTGATTTTTGGATGAATATGATCGTGCAAACTTACATCAGAGCTGCTTATGTTCAGTGTTAGGAAAAACAACTACCAGGAGTAGTTAGAAGAAGAAGGTTTACAGGGTATAAAAGTGACAAAGTAAAGAAATTTCACATGGTTTTTATAGGTCATTTAGTTCTCAAAAATTACATTGTGATCGATGCTCAATTCTATGGCCTTTAAAATTACATTCCGAGGTAATAATAGGAGGAAAGCTTACTGATTTACAACGAAAAAAGTTATGAAAATATCACTAATATAATAGTATAAAATACGCCAGCTTGAATAAGGAAAACCAGAGATTTGAATGACACCTAAATTTCCAGTCAAATAGTATCCACAAAATTAGCGGACAGGGGATGGACAGATAATTAGACTTTAAAGGATCACGTCAAACGTCAGAACCAATTTACAATTCATTTTCTCTTACATTTACAATAACATTTCTCTTTATAACTTAAAACATGAACCTGTAGATGGACAAATACCTGACCTCAAGACCTCGGCAATTATCTCTGCATGAAAAATGAATGCACATAATAAAATTAAATGTTCAAAATCCAAAAAATTGAACATTACAAGGGGAAAAGGATAAAAAAGAGAGGCAAAAATTTCGTACACAATTGTCTTGGAAAATCCTTTTAACCCACAATATATATATATATATATATAATTAAATCTAAACTATTAACATTAAATGAGAAATGTGTCACTCATCCTAATAAGAACGTAATAAAAACAAGAGGAAACGAGGAGGAGCCAAATACTTTTCCCAACAAATAACGAAATTCTCAATTACCCAATAGTTAATTTCCCAACAATTAACAACTCTGTCCTAGTTAATTCCCCCGAATTCAACTAAGAGCATTAAGTTCACTCAACTATGGCTACAAGAACAGATGATGTTTATCCCTAGAATTATATTGTAGATTAAACCAATTCCTTATATTGTTCAAACTCTTGTTGATTAATTTAAAGTCATTCCTAATTTCTCCTTCCAAGCTCAAATCAAGTAAACGGGGGTTTCTTTTATGCCACTGAGCAATCTCGAACTTTCCGCTTAAGTCAAGGTGCATCTGCCTTGTCTGTAATTAACTAATTACTAAATCTAACTTTTACCATAAATGATTTTCTAAATAATAGTAACTTTTTTTTGCTTTGGAAAATCTTACGGTTCTGGAAGGAAAATCTAACTTACAAAAATATAAATTATATATATATATATATATATATATATATATATTAACGTAGTATATTATAGCCTTAAATATAACTATAATACCGGATATAATTGGTAATATTACTAATTTCCTTTTTGTGTTCCGATTTGGTTTGGTTTAACAAAAATTACATGTTCTAGAAATTCTATTCTAATTGGTTTAGGTTGACACATATAAAACATTTGTGTAGGAAGATATTTTCCAACTTAACATTACAAATTAAATTCTAGAAATTATATTCTATTCTTTTATGACTTGCATAAAATCTACTTTTAGGTATTATAGCCATTTACATGTATATCATGCACGACTGAAGCTATTCACCTACAAAAGGTAAAAGTAAAATAATGACATGTTAACGTTTGTAGTTGTAGCTGTTGTATCGTAACAGGGATAACATTTTTGGAGTTCTAAGTAAATTATAGCCATAGTTTTTAGTTTTGGATATCAAAATCTTATACATTAACGTAGTATTTTACTCGAAATTTTATATATTAAGAGATCAATGGTTTATTTTACATTCAAGACCAATGTTAGTGTAATATAATACTGATTTTCATCATTCAAAAGATTTGTCTCATGTACTTTTTCATGTCAAATTCGCAACTGTCTTACGTCGTGTTTCTTTTTGTGTTTAATTCTTCTATAAATTTTAACTTTTTATATTTTGTATAGATGATTGATAAAAGTTTCTAATCATATTTCATTTTGAATACAATAAGTAAATTCTTAAATATATCTATAATTATAACTGCTTTATGAAATCTTACTATACTGCTTTCACGTCAACGTGAATGACTATAATGATATTTTTGATAATTTTTTATTTATTAGAGTATGCTATAACAAATGCAAATTATTTACTTTGCCATCGAATAACTGAGAAGGGGGCTTAGTAGAGTGTTAGAGGACGCATACACTTGTAGAGATCAGAATAGGTTATTAGGGCTACCGAATAGATTGGAACACATATATAAGGTATAAGACTAGGGATTTTTAAACAATAAGAAGCAAGATGCAGATATTCTAAAAGAGAATGGGAAAGAATCAAACACGACAAGAAAACATAAACATTCGTAAGTCGTTGGCTTTGGTGGCACAAAATTTGTTAAGTATCTTGAGTTTGACAATATCAACCATTCTATGTTCACTGAGTATTTCAGTACATACTGCAGAGTATTATATTCGGAACCCTCAGCCGATCGAAGACATGAACAAAAAAAATGTAATTAATCGAATTGCTACTGGTAAGAAATTTAATATTTACACTTCAAAAGAATTTCTTTAATATATTTTATAAATTTGTATCTATTTATACTCTTTTCTTGAATAGCGGAGAAGATGAAATATACTATTTGAGATTATTGTTGAAGTATGTTAGAGGACCATATTCATTTGAAGATTTATTCATGGTTAATGGAAGAGGGTGTCAGACATATAAGGAAGTTGCAAAAGACTGAGGGATATTAGAATGAGTTAACAATATTTCTGAATGCTTACACGAGGAAGTTCTCTTCAAGACGCCATCAGCTCTCTGAAGTTTATTTGCAACTATATTGGTACATTATAGTTCAAGTGTTCAACCGACGTTAGAAAACTGTGGGATATATACTACGAAAATATGTCATCCGTAATGTTTCAAAAGCACATGTCCGTTTTTCAAAAGCACATGTTTCAAACGATTCATCCATATTATCAACGTTGTTTTTTTATACAACGAGCACACTAAAGTACATTATTGACACGATCCAAAATTCCACCACAAGCGTCGTGATGGCACCTAATCTCTAAAACTAGGTAAGCCGATTTCCATTGCATTTTTGAAATCATCATTTTTTTTTTAACTAACAGCGAAAATAATTACAATATACAACCTCCCAAGACTGGCAGTACTGAGTCACGAACTCTAACCGAATACATAGAATGATCACGAGGACCGAATATACCATACTGTTTGATTACAAGTTAACAGTACAATGAAATGAAAGGACTCCAAAGAACTGCGACGACCAAGCAGCTCTACCTTGAATCCTAACGATCCCGCTTTAACTCTGCTCAAGTCCGTTATCTTCAATACCTGGCTCTGCACAAAAATGTGCAGAAGTGTAGAGTGAGCACACCACAGCGGTGCCCAGTAAGCATCAAGACTAACCTCAATGGAGTAGAGACGAGATACAGTCAAGACACTCACTAGTCTAATACCCCGTGCAATATAGCAATATACAATAGTATTGAAAAATAACTAGCAATGATAACAACAACTCCATCCAGTGATATGCACAGTAAGAGAATAAGATCACCATTTAATATCTCTCAACAATTAATTAATAAAATTACACTCAGTTAAATCAAGTTCTTCAATTAAATATCCTTCACATATAATTCTACCAATTAACTCTCTTTCAAATATAATTTTCCTCAAATAATTATCTTTCAAATACAATTCTTTCATATAATACTTTCTAAATAAAAATTCTTCCAAATAAATTTTTTGAATATAATTCTTCAATTTAAAAAGTCACCATGTGACACCTCATTTCATAATCATAAAAAAAATAGGGGTCTCAACCCATTTTCATATTTTTCATAAATACGGGTCTCAACCCATTTTTCATATCTCCACGGCACTTCATGCCCATAATTAAATCATTATATTTTCCCGGCACATCGTGCCCTCATTTCATATCTCACCTGCACGGACAACTCACGTGTCAAATATCATTATCATTTAATCACAGCACCTCGTGCCCACATTTCATATCACAACCACAATTCACATGCCAATATTTTCAATATATATAAGATCCACATGATCAATTTATTTCCACTAAAGTGAGTTTAAAAGTTTTTAAATCAATTAAGAAATCAACAAAGAATTGAATTTATTTTT